CCCTGCAAAATCAGACAGTCTGAATGTTATAAAATGCTGATTTCTGTTTATGAATAGGCACTAAATGTGATTTTGCACTGCAGTATTTCTGGTCAACAGCAGAGGGCGAAAGAGAGCCGCATTGCAGGTGATTTTTGACCTTTCATGATTTTAAGTCTGTGAATGGCGCTTGAATATTTTCTGGTTAGTTATTAGTCAGCTATTGGCTAGTCTTTATATATTTCCCGGCTAGTCGTTATACAGCATCACAACATGATGTGTTTAATAGGACTATTTAATATAAGGTACTTCACAGCAAGAGATGCAGTTTGTCCCTAATGTGTAGATGTTGGTGCTAAAACCTCTTTATTTTTGCTTCAGTTTGAGGCTGGAAAAGACTACAGAACTAAGGTGTTTGTTTGGTCTTTAAAATGGAAGAAGTTTAACACCACTGTTACTCTTCCTAGGAGTGATATCAACAAAAATCACTCAAAGAGCAAGATTCCAGAAGGTTCCAAAGAACCCCAGAGTAATATCAGCATCTGCAGGCCTCGCAGCATCTTGGCTAAGGTTGTCCTGGAGTCCACCATCAGGGACTGAACAAGAATGGTGTGCATGGCAGGACAACAAGATGGTAGCCAAGAACATTTTGCCAAAGACTGTGTGAATGAGCCAGAAGACTATGAAAAGAATGTTTTTTGTCAACAAATGAATGTCAGAAATAAAACGGATTGATATAAAGAAGTGTTAAATATGACCCAAAAAAAAGACACCGCTAACGGGATATTCTCAGAAGCAACGTTCTCTTTCAAGTTAAGATCAAACATTATTCCAGGAACATTAAAAGAATGTTCATTCAAAGTTATCTGGTCTTTAATAACGTTCTCAAAACGTTAGCACAAAAATTTTATTTGTACATCATTAATAGAATGTTTCTTCTGAAACATTTTAATTGGATGTTTGTCTAACATTTTTTTAAATGTTACTACGGGTTTCAAAACGTTCAAAGAACATTCAAAAATAACATTCCCATAATGTTTGCAAAGTGATAAAAATGGAACATTCCCTTAATGTTTTTGCTAACTTTCCCATAAATGAGAAAAGTTTTTAAAAAAGCTTGTTGTTTTGAATTTTCTGAGAACATTCAGAAATAATTTTCATAACTTAATAGGAACATTATAAAAGCATTCTTAGAACATCTTTTTGTTAGTCTGTCAGCTGTATATTAGTGGCTTTGTTCCTCTGGACCAGGACGTCTTGCTTTCATTGATGAAATTATGATCATTTTGCTTAAATAAATGAAAAAAAAAATGCAACGTTTTCCTGTTTTGTTTAACTTTTGGTGAAGAACTGATCTCAGTGTTGTTCAAATTTATGCAGGTTCACAAATGTTCTAGCACTACTCTATGTGCCGGCTTAAAGCTGTAATTGTTTGGCTAATACCTTGACTAAATAATAAGGTAAGGAATTTTGGATCACACATAGCTCAGTTATTGAAGTAAATAACATCAGAAGCTGTTCAGACACACTCAGTCTGCGCTGGCCACAATCCTGCCACTTACTCACTAAAAAACAAACATACTTGCTAATTCACACTCACTATCTCTTTCTCCAGCACAGAGGTACACATAAAAGCCTTTACAATTGAATGAATGTGAGTGGGAGTGTGTGTTTGTGGGTGGTTGCGGTGGGCTAAGACACCCATTATGCTTTCGCGTCACATATAGTGTCCAACAGCGCCCATATTGGGCAGCTTCATCAAAGTTACTGTGTCCTGAGGTTGGCCCCAAGAATTTGGGACACAGACACAGTTGGTTTTGTCCTGCTCGTTCTGAACTGACATGCAGCCAGGCGCGCTATGGTGACAAGAAGACTCACCAAAATTTAGGGTCCGGTCCTAAAAAAGAAAAAACACATTACACGGTGGCAAACTTTCCTCTGTGCCAGGGAACCTCTGAACCGGACTCCCCACGGCACTGGAACAATCCCAGTGCTTAGAGTCTCTGTTCTCATGTGGCACTGCACAGGTTCTGAGTCATGACGTATTTACTGACAAAGCCGTGCGAGTTTTCGCACGAGCGCACCAGCAGCTCGGTAATGTACTTCTTGGTCAGATAAACCTCCCCTTGCACCTCTGTCACTGCGTCTATTCGTTCTTTTCTCTCGGCTATTGGAATCATCGGACCTGTCCGTTTGGAGAGCGCAATTCAATTGGGATTTTTCACCTTTCCTGACAGATTTGGAAAAGTTTTACCTCCGTTTTTTCCAGAAGCACTGTTTCATCATGGGGCGAGCCTGTCACCGAGAGCTCGCGCTCCTGCCGCTGCTGGGATACTTGGCTTGCCTGACGCGCGCGGACGGTGGGTTTCTCTTGATGATCTGGGTGCGGTCATTTGTTTCACGCGCCTCTGCAATACGTGTTTATGCGAGGTGATGAATGGACGCGTGCTTGTGTCCAGCTTCCAAGATATTAGAGAGTTGTGTGAATGTCATATTTGTTCTTGGTGGTGTGTGTGTGTGTGTGTATATAAATGCATGGGTCAGTGACCCATCTTTGTTTGTTCTATTAAGTTATTTAAAAGCACTTATAAAATCAGCTTATACAGACTGACTTGAATAAATTCAAGTTTTAATGATTTTATAATGCAACTAAAAAAAAAGTCTAGGTGGAGCCTGGAAGCTCATTCAAAGATTGAAATTCTTGAGGAAAAAAGATAAATGTTACTATTTATCAAATTTTTTTTTTTTTTGGAAAATATTAATATTTAAAATAATTTTGTCAGCGTCAGTACGATTTTTGAGAAAAATCACATATTCTCACCTTTTTAATGAACTATTTATTTCAAGTCAAATGAAAGAAAACATATTCATGACTGATATTAGTAAAAAAAAAAAAAAAGGTCTACATGTTTTTGGTTTGGTGTTGTAGGCTAGACTTTTTTTCCTTTTAAGATTTTTCTATTATATACAGTAATCCAAACACAAAATAAAGCATCTATCCTGTTTTGTCCCATAGTTTTAGAGTCTAAGAGGCTCTTAGTATTGTTTGTTGAAATATATTAAAGTACATTTGACTGACCTTTCTCACACATTTATGTTTGCTGTCATACATTCCTTTTTAGTTGTTTGTAGAGTTAAAATCCGTTAACTAAAGATCTAATTCATCCGCCACAAACCCCTAATATCTTCACATCAGCATAACAGACTCATCAATATGACACTAATGAATTTGTAACAAACGATTGATAGATGACGGGTTGTTTGTGGTGGGTCAGCTTGATTAGTCAGACTTCTGAACATGACTCAGTCTTGGATACCTCACTGACACCAACCTGCTAACTTTATCTGTTCCAATTCAGATTGTTCCCAAATGATGATGTTAACTCATGTGTATTTTCTAGACATGGAGTTATGAGACATTATTGTATTATGAGCAAAAAAAAATTGTTTGGTGATATGCTCACTTAACCTCGGTTTAATATTTATCTAAAATTAGCTCAATTTCAGATGGTTTAAAATAGCAGCTATTTTAATTCCTCTGTGTGAGACTGGGACAAACGAATGATGTACGGTAATTAAGACGCTGCCTTATGGAAGTGGGGCTTGTGATAAAAATGGATTTATGTTTGTACAATCTTACATTTTATTTATTAATTTTTTTGTAACAATGCCAAAGAAGAAACATTTTGGGTTCCTTCAAGAACCTTTCAGTAAACAGTTCTTAAAATAACAATTTTACTTAGTGTGAAGAGCTTCTTAATAATCTAAAGAACCTTTTTTAATATAATCAGCTTTATGTGCAATGGAAAAGTTCCATGGATGCCGATAAAGAACCTTTATTTTTATGTTTATTGTATGTGGATTGTATTTGTATTTATTGTACATCTCTGTTTCTTTAACCCTCATTTGTTATAGCTTTACACCTTCACTCTGCCCAAAACACTGCTAAATACACTTTATATAGTAACTGACTTTATTCAGGGTATCCTGCCCTTTAAAATGGCCTTTTGACATACAAAGCTCTTTGGTGCTGTAATTCATACCATTCATACCACCTGTACATATCAACTTGCTGTGGTTATATCCATGCATTCTCCTAATTTCTTGATGTCCTTCTCATTTCCCCTGTTTGAGGTAATGTTTTCTCACTAATGTAATGTAAAATGTGCATTCTAGCAGTAACACTCTATTTAAGCTGGTTTATTTTTACCAGTCTCTCCATTAGGACGTGTGTTCTTACTGGAGTTGGAGAGGTTTTCAAAAGGTGTACAGGAAAAAGGGTTCGAGGCAGCAACACATGCCTGTATGGCTCAAGGGGCCCGGGTGGCATCCAGGGCTGACCTGCATCATGCAGTGTTGGAATGTGCCTTCTCAGCCTGCTCACGTGGTTGGCTCTCCGGACCGAGCATTGGGTAAGAACATTAATTACCTGAAGAACAGATGCTGTCAATCAACGTGTTGATTTGTTGAACGGGCATTTTTTGAGCCACAATAATGAGATAGCTTGCTTGCGTATATCTGTGTTTTTCTGTGTGATTGCAAGACAGAGAGAATCCTACCTGTGAATTCATCCAGAACATTCCTATTTACACCTCAGGGCCTGAGAGAAATGGACCTGAGCTGCTGTGAGGGAACACATCAGCACCTTCCATGTGTTCATTTTCTGTGCTGCTCCATTGCTGAGGTGTATTACTTTACCACTGAGCACAAATCCCAAAATAATTATCACATCGAAAATGTGGTGCATATGTATTTCATTTTCAAATGAAATACATATAGAGTGGGTCCAAAAAGTATACTAAAGAAATACATAAAATATAAATTGCATCACCTTAGATAACAAAATATCAAACCAAATGGCATCTGAAAACAGAATATTTTATTTTTATATAGTAAGAAATAATATATATTATAATAATATTTACTGCATAAAATATAGTATATTACATTTTATTATATATTATTGTAATATACATTATAATGTACAATTTGGTATATATATATATATATGTATACTGTATATATATACATATATATATATATATACACACACATATGTTCAAAGTTTGGGTCAGTAAGATTTTTCATATATTTGAAAGAAGTATTTTGTGTTCATCAAGGCTGCATATATGCATTATTTAAAATACAGTAAAACAGTAAAACAGTAATTTTGTAAAATATTATTACAATTTAAATACTTTTAGAATATTAGAATATTTTCAAATGTAATTTTTTCCTGTGATGGCAAAGTTTAATTTTCAGCATCGTTACCCCAGTCTTCAGTGTTACATATGATCCTTCAGAAATCATTCTAATATGATGATTTGCTGATCAACAATAGTGGTGCTTAATTCCTTATTATACACGTTTTTTCAGGTTTTTTGTGAGACATTTCAAAAGAACAGCATTTGTTTGAAATAGATATTTTGTCTTTACTGTCACGCATCAGTTTAATACATCCTTGCTTAGTAATTAGTAAGTATTACTGAACTTAAAATTTTGAACAATAATACATATTTACTTACAAGAAAAAAAGGCAATGGGGTAAGAGAAATAAGCTTAATTCAAGATATATTGTTTGTTCTAAGCTTCCAATAGGTCTGGACTACAAAATTCAAAGCATTCTGTTGTTATCATGTATACATTTGTGAATGTCTGAAGCCTTTGTTGCAAATCACTCGCATCTGCAAGTTTTGCCAAAAGGAGTGGCCTTCCCTTCAGAACAACCTATAGATTACACATGGATTTCTCGGACATGACACATAAATGACATACATGTGAAAATCTACCTCAGTGCAGCTGAGGTTTAATCACTAAACTTTGACACAG